ATGGTTTGTGTGCTGTGTGAAACCAAAAGTAAACTTATGTTACATTGATACGCTTAGCACGTAACGTTGCGTAAGAAAGTCCACAAATGGCAGCTGTTGTTTATTTACGTTGTAGCGTAACGTTGTTATGTTACAATGTTGCGTTATGTTATTGCATTACATTGTTTTGTTATTATTTAAACAAAAACATGATGTTTTGTCTCACCTAAACCAAGTGGGGAAAGAGGGACTACAGAAACAAATACAAACATCAAACACGAACGTATATCTCTGAGAAAATTAGTTAAAGCTGCCTTCTTTCTCAAGTCACAAGGTGATCATGATGACAAGAATTAACTTAGCTTTATCCTGAGCCACACTGCCTATCTGAGCAGCGTGTGATGGTTGCTCTTCTGAACTGCTGCGTCTCTTACTTCAGTAGTGTCCACACAGACCTTGCTGCTGCTGCTGCTGCTGCTGCTGCCAGCCCTTATTTCTACATAGGGTTTGACTTTCTTCATGGACGAAATGTTTCGTTTCATTTTATTCTAAATGTCATTCATGTTCATTTTAACCGGAAAAAGGTTAAGAGGCATTTGCTCATTTGTAAATAATAATAACAATCCACACTAAAAAAAAAAGTGTTCCATTAATTTATGGAGCCGTGTGGAGTCATTGCATTCACTGTCCTGGAAATATTTCAGAATATAAGCTTTGTGTTAACAAATAAAGGGATTCTGTCCAAAGAAATAGGCTAAAGGACTATTATTTTTAAATGGGAAAAGGAAAAGTTGTTAAAAATAAATATCAAAGGTGCAAGATTGGGAACATTTTGGACTGCCTCTCAAGGGCTCTCAACATGGCAACACGCACAACGAACGGTGCTAACAGTGCTAACAGCGCTAACAGCGCAAACTATGGCGAAAGTGCTGACAGAGCGAACAGGGTTTACCTGAGGAGGAACCAGGTGGTGGGTGCTACACTTCTGCGCTGTCGGTCTGGGCGGTGTTATCAGCTGTAACTACTGTATGAGAGCAGCCGTGAGCCAACCAACAGGCCACACTCACAGGCTCTAATACGCACTAAAAAGCAAGGAGAAGCACTTATATCACACACACACACACACACAGAGGGAAACTTCATTCTGTGCTAGACATTATTTCTGTGCTATCTTTCTTTTTTTCACGTCTATGACATGTTCTACAGATAAAGACATCAAAACTGTAGTGATGTTGCTGGCATGGTTTACAATATACTATCAAGATCAATTTCACCGTTTATTTTTGCTGTTCACGCAGTACATAGACAAAATGAGAGACATGAATCTCCAGAAGAGACGCAGCTGACACAAAGTTCCGTGACACACATGCTCTGTTCACGAAGGCTGTGTGGCCCAGATGTTAGTCGCTTACTGAAAAGTGTTGGTTAAAAGTCACATTTTAGTTTTTTTGTTTTGTTTGAGTCGAGAATGCTGAAAACGCTGTGTTTTCCACAGCGTTTGTTTTGTTTGCTGTTTGTTATTCCAGTGTAATTTCAGTCAGTGTTTTAGTCATAATTTTCTCAGACAAATTCATGATACTGTAATAGATTTTGCTGAATATTTCTCCTAGCTTAAAAATAAATGTGGGAAGTTAGCATACCTTGAACTACGTGTTCAGTCATCATGGCTGAGAACATGTTACTGACTTACTTCTTTCATATCATATATCATTAATGGTTATTAGACACTGCACATGTTTATTACCTGACAAAGCAGACTTATGAAACCAAGCAGGTCTGATGACAATGATAGCGACTATGAAATACAGTCTGAAGTCACGGAGACAAAAGCTAAATGTCAAGCGTTCATAACAATGTCATTCTTTATAGCCGGCCTATCAATCGTTTTTAAGCTCAATACTTAGATTTTTAATTGGTCACAGACATTGTTAATAGTAAATGTTACTCTTGTCTGATCAGTTGAAGACGGTCGGCTAACGGTCCGGAAAAAAAAATCCAAATTTGCATCCCTTATCCCCCGAAACAGAGCCAACTGTTCAATCAATGAGATTTCGCTGTAATTTATGTTTTCCGTGTTATTTTTTCAAAATGACGTTGCAATTTAGTGATGAAATAAAATGAAGCAACGAAAATGATCACTGGCGTAAACCTAACCAATCGTGTTACAACGCTAACCACGTGGCATTTGCATTTCTGCATGTGTGACACGCGGCTGATATGAAACATATTAATAGAACGTATATTCGAACCAGAAACTTTCAATGTAACCTTGGTTTGCAGAAACATTCAATGCCAACATTTTATCTGTTGACTGGGATATTAGAACAGTAGATTGTGTGTTAAGCCATTTTCAAGACATTAAATGCAGATATGTATTAATTTGGTAAGAAATGTCAATATTAACACAAGCATTAATGTGTGTCATCACAGTACAGCTATATCATTTACAGCAAGAAACACAAACGGCCGGGTTAGACAAATGTTTCAAGAGCAGTAACATTATTAACCAAACCGCCTGTTTAACATCCATCACAGCTCTGCCCTGCTGTAGTCACTGTAGTTGTGTGCACACACTGTTCCTGTACAATGAGAGATCATTACCAACATTTCAGGTTGGCTCACCTTCATTATGTTTGAGTGGTTTAGATAATCTCAATAAACTGCTGGCTTGTTTACAAGCTGTCTGATTGTCTGACTGCTTGTGTTTCTTTCCCTGTGAGACTGCTTTAGTGATGTTGGCGTGTTCCAACATCTCTGCAGTTGATAAAGTAGAATATAATCATGAGAGCGATGAAGGCTAAAACCACAACAAATACATTCATTAAAGTCATTTTACATTCATTGTCATAAATTAACAAAATAAAGGTCATTTTTTTACTGCCTTTCAAAACAAAATCAAATTCATGTTTAAAACATCCCAACATTGTTGTTATTATGAGGCCGGATGTGACCTCTGATTTCTGCTGTAGACCCGACCAGCTAGCCGAACCTCTGCCTAAAGATTCTGTGCAACGATAAAATATGGCACAATACTTCCTGCTGAATGAAAACATATGTCACAATCAATGACTGTGTTTTTATCAGAGAGGACAATTATGTGTTTCAACTCACGACCACTAGATATATCTGAGGTTTGGAATTTGTGTTACGGCAATCATCTCTCCCGGATTATTAGCATTGAATTGGCTTTGTTAGCTTTAATTGTTATTGGCATATTGTTCTGTTCCAGTAAGGCAGAGCAATATGGTGGCTTCAGCAGGCTACTGTGGGATAACTTTCTGTGCGCTCTCGTGTTTGTGTATATCTTCCCTTTGGAGGGTTGCTCCCACTAATTGGTCTTAATTGTTGGTAATACCCCCACGTCGTTTTCCTTTAGGTCGCCTCGGCGTGCTGCTGAGGAGATGCCTTTTTTATTGATGTGACAGCGCTAAATTGAGAACCTTTGGCGGAGTGTCAAAGCCTAATTAATCACTCTAATTTCATCTCTCCACGCGTCCTCAACCATTGAGTGAATGTGATCAGAGGGAGAGCCGTCTCAGCGTTAGCTGATTCTCCTCATGCTAATTAGCTGCTAGTCCTGAGATGGAGAGGCCCTCAGGGTGAGAGGCGAGGGGCTAAAGCCGGCCTAAATGGCCACATAATGACCAAGGGTACGGGAATAGGAACCCAGCTCATTTTCATTATATATTACATTCAAGTCCCCCCCTCCTCCCCTACCACCCAACTGAATGTGGTTTCTCCTAAAGACACTCTGCCAGGCTACAGTATAACCTCACCTCTAACAGATCCAGCAGCCTCATCTGATCTGAGAAGAAAGGGACCAATCAGCCTGCATATACAGGAACGGTCTCATCACGCCTTCTGTCTGAACATTACTGTCTGAAATGAAGCTGAGCTGACTTAACCAAGGTGTTTCTGTCATGTTTAAAGTAAGAACAACTATGAGCCACATTTAGTCAAGCCAAAATACAAAAGAGTCACTCTACGCTCAACCCCAAATAACGGACAGTAGAACATGATTAGGATGGGGAGGGTTGGTGAAAGTTGTATTTAACATAACCCTCTCCACTCCAATGGCTCAAATAACAAAGATTGTGAATATTCCAGCCTTTCTCTCTGAGTAAAGGGCTGCTAACTGCTTAGGGCTGCAAGCATGTGCATCAATGAACAGCAACTATCATCTTGTTATATTTCACTTTCCCTATGCGTAGAATCAGTTGGCAACATGTAATGCTGAACTTGCAATATCATGTCAACGTTCAATATGGTGATTGTCAAAATGTAAAATCCTTTTTTTGTGAAGTTAGATAGAAGGTTGGCTGAAAAAGACCTGTTGAACCCCCCCCCC